TGGTACTTGGTGTAAAAAGGTTGAGAACCACTGGGTTAGGGTTAAGATCAACAAATACTTTCTGTGGTGACATGCATTCAGCATCCTCAATAACACCTGAAACCACTTCAACATTTTCCAAATCGGCCAGGCCATTTTTAAACTATTGTCTGCATAATGCTAGTTACGCAACTTATGCTAATTGTGCAAAATTGCCCGACATACAGTATGTGAGTTAGCATCCGGCAGTTAGTCGTTACTCGGGGCCTGTATTATACATTTCTAACATAAAACTTTGGGGTACTCAACATTTCCGGGTTCACAGTGCTGGCGACTAGACTAGAGGGTTCGTCTGACAGGAGAAAAACTCTCGGCCACGTTGTCACATTCACTCTGCGGACCAATGTGGCGACTCAACTCCTGGCTGGGTTCCTCTCACCGCTGATGGAGGCTGACCTTTCTCCTTCTCTCTTCAAACAACATGGCCTTTAAGAAGCTTCTGACCAGCAGTATGCATTGATGCTGCCCTTCAGATGTGTGTGAGGCCGTGCATCCACACTCTGACCCTCTGACCGCCCAGCACACACACTGAGAGAGAGAGGCGGAGGATGAAATGTCCCCGTCAGGCTCTCTGACAGGTGGACTCACTCTGAGATCACACACTGCCTCGCCACGCTGCACACACACACATTTACACATGATCAATGCTGCTGGCTGACAGCTGAACACACACTTATTTAAACAGAAAGTGATTTGGATGAGGGAGAGAAAAAGCTGAGTTGGCTCATCAGTATTTCTAGGTTATGTAATAAAGTTATAAACAAAGGTAAATAGAAATAGTTGAAATATTAAATAAAAGTGAATTTAATGCTGGCTATGAAAGTTAGGCTTAAGGCATATGGAAGTCTTTTCATACTTTAATTGGAAGTAAAACTGAAGGTGAAAATACAATAATGGCATTTATTCCTTTTTTCATAACAATAATAATAATACATAAGATTTGTAAAGCCCTTTTCTTAATGTTCAAAGACGCTTTCATAGAACAAACATCATCTCAGTTAGTAGGAATGAGTGAACAAATATATAAACGTATATATTTACATTGTATAGGCATGGCCAACAGTGTTTGGAAGTGATTTGTAGGTTTTGGATGAAAATGTCAGCTAAAATGACATGTAATGTAATGTTATATATAAATGTCAATGAACATTTATCCCGACACTCTGCATTTAAATCTGCATCTCAGCATGCTGAGGCGCTCTGCATTGATCTAAACCTTCATGTGAGATGTTCTTACAGAATATAAACGTTTGGATAAACAGAGCTTTTTATGCATTTTAAAATAGAGCAAATGTTGCACAATAGTGTTTTAGAAAAGAGATGAGCACTGTAAAAACTGAAACGTTAACTTTAATTCAATGTTTTATGTCAACAGATGTCTTAGGTTAGTTGAAAGCAATAACATTAAGTTCAAATAAATACATCTTAGGTTCAACTTAACCCTCCTATTGTCTTCGTTTCCCCCCCCCCCTTACTTTGGTGTTCGTGGTCAAATTTGACCGGTCCTGTTTTAACTGCTATTACATTAACACAAAAACCATTAATCATCACCAAATTTCATTTAACACCCTTTCAAACTGTAAATATTGTATCAGACTACTGGTATACATGAAGAACTGCAGTACATATACAAAGAATAGACACTGAACATGTATTGCGTGTGCCAGGTGTGATCCATGTGGGGGGATGGGCACATAAGAGCGGGAAATGTGTCAAATTGTTCTGTGTGTGTGAGTGCCAGGTGTGATTCACATGGGGGGATTGGGCACATAAGGGGGGGGAACACATCTAGATATCATAAAGCCTTAATGCAATCGAATGTAAAACAAAAAAGTTATGATTGATGAAAGTAGTAAATCGGTCAGATTTGACCCGAAAACAACAGGAGGGTTAATATTATTTCTTTCAACTAACCTAAGTTAAATTGTAGACATAATACATTTAATTAAAGTCAGTGTTTCAGGAGGAGCACAGGACCTTATGAAATGGTATTTCCTCTCAGTGTTCTGTTGCCATGCATTTGATCTGCATTCATTCCATTTTCCAGTCGACCTCCATAATGGCGCAAAACATCATTGTATTTCTACGATTTGTGAGCAAAGGGAGAAGCGTCTGTGGGGAAGCAGAGCAGCTGAGCCTCAGTGTCAGTCCACTGCCGGCCTCTCGTCCAATCAGAGCTTGTCTTTGTGTCTGGGGGGGTGAGCCTCCTACAGATGTGTGCAGGAAGCTCCACTTTTCCCTTCTGGCATCAAACACAATCAATAAGCTTCCTGCTGTGTTTCCACGCTCTGTGAGAGGACCCCCGCCTGCAGGGCTTCCTCCACCTCTGCTCATCCAAAATCCAAAATCCATCCCCCCCCCCCAGATGAGTATCTCCTCAGCCCGGGGGCCAAACAGCAGAGAGCCCTCTTTGTCTCCAGACTTGACTTCTTCCCTGGTCCACCTCTTCATACTCTCATCTCTATAATTCTCTGCATCAATTATTCAGCCCTTCAGCCTCCGAATAGAAATCCATTATGTCTGCTCTGCTACACTGTGCTCCAATTAAGAGATTGGGGATGATATGAAGAGGGGGGGGGGGGGGGGGGGGGGCAGGAGATTCAAGGATGAGACCTCAATTTACTTTAAAATATATATGCCATCCTATAATCCAATGCAGAGATACTACATGCAATTACTTAAAGGTCACTGTACCATTTGCTTTAATATATTGATTTATTTTGATTTAAAAGGGATCATCTATACATGTCACCATGTAATGCACCGTACCAGGTGCAGAGACTAAAACCATACTCCAAGACACACAATACAAAGCTACACACAGTGACACACCCACATGTATGCTAGTCAGATACAAGCGAGTCATGAAGCCCATAAGATAACATGTGAGGTCATTGAGTACGAGCTGTACTCTTCTTTCTTTCCGTTTGACTGATTGTAATCGCTATACGCTGCTCTCTCTCGTGTCCTCTTCACAACTACACTATTCGCGGCACACGTACTTACAGCCAATCAGCTCTCTGAATTATGAGATGACGTTTGGTGGGTATGTCAGCACAGTGCCCCTATGGTGATTATTTATTTGCCGCACACATTGGGTGTTTCTCAATCGCGAGTACGCTTGCTTGGTAGCACATGTCTGCCGAGCATCTTGCTTCAGAAGCGAGGCAAGAATACTTCCTGGCATTCGGAAAACAAAGAGTGGAACAGGCTAGCAAGTGTGCAGGTGTGCGTCATATGATAGGCCCCGCCTTACATTTTCCGCCACAGATTTGGGGAAATTGGTCCGTGCGCAAAGCATTGTGGGGATTTTAAGACCGCGGAGTCTACTCATGTGCAGCCTCGATATTTCTCCAAACGGAGTACGCCGGGCTCGGTAGATTTCCAAGTATGCTGGAGATTGGAACAGTCCTTCGGCGGCACTCGATGACGTAGTATGCTTGAAATAGTGGCTCTGGAGCAGCTTTACTCGCGATTGAGAAACACCCAGTGAATAGAAAAATGCTCTGAGCATGCGCAGTGTAGTAGCAGAGAGAGGGGCTTGCCCCACACGGCTCAATAGGCACACTGTAGACACTAATTAGAAGAACGCAGACTAAAACAGCAATGTACAGACGAATCAGATGACTAAACATGATCTTAAAATATATTTGAACATGTATTTTCTTTGCATATTCTGGGAATTATTATTTGCATTACTTTCTGCTGACACTAGGTGGGGCCTAATGACGAGTCGCCACTGGTCAAATCTCCTAGGCAGGATATTTTGAAGTTTAAATAAAATGTTTAGTGGACGAGGGGTCTCTCAATAAAAATGTTTAAAACAAATTGACCGGTCCTGTTAACCTTTCTAGTTCCTGAGACATTTTGGTGTGTTCTGGATTCTGGATGGCTCTGATTTTGAGACTGAATAGGTCAAGCTCAGTATATTTGCTTTAAAAAGAGTTTGACTGTGTTACTGTTAACTGCACTGGGGTGACCTGATTTTAAGGTATTACTTTTGATCTTCAGATAGTCTTGCTGGAACGTAATGAATTGATTAGCATGCCGTTTCTATAGTTACATTAGCCCTTAGCATCCTGGAACATTCTTCAGAGTTATCTAAAGAGGATGTGGTTAACACAGTTTAGCTGAATAAATACACGCTGGTTGAGCAAAATATTTAGTGTGCATTAAAACTTCTGGAGGAATCTGACCCATTTCTTTGAGATACTAAAATGGTTTGGCTTATTTTACGCTAATGTGCCCGCAGGATTCTTGATGTTCTGAGTTTGTCGGTGTTGATGCACCTGTTTTTATTCGATTTGTCTCTCCTCTGATTTTTTAAGCTTGTTTCTGTATAAAACTCTGCAATTTTAGATGTGTTGGTAAGATATATTTTACCTTCTGTTCTGTGTCCGGGCCCATATTCTAAAACTTTTCTGGGAGTCCCATTTCACGTGTCTCTATTATGTCTCATCACTTGTAATTTTACAGTAATACAATTCATTGAATATAAGCATTTGCTGCTTAATACACAGTGCACTCCAAAGGACACGGAGCAGGGCAGATGAGAGCTCTTCTGACAGACGCTGCACCACTCCTGAACCTCATCATGTTCCTCCACCTTTTCACCTCACTGAATAATGAAAAGATCTTTCATGTCGAGTGAATTTTTCAAAACATTTGAAGCGTTGGCCCAAATGAGTGAATTTAGAGTTGACATGGAACACGGCTGGTTTTGATACAGCGCAGATATCAAGGTCGTACAAGAGCCTGTAGGAACTCTTTAAAACACCACAGCAAAAAGTTCTTGCCTAGAAGTATGGTTTATATCCGCAGCTCACACGCACGCACGCACGCACGCACGCACGCACGCACGCACGCACGCACGCACGCACGCACGCACGCACGCACGCACGCACGCACGCACACACACACACACACACACACACACACACTCTGCAGCATCCCTCACTCACCAGGAATATCCTCTCCAGCTGGTCCTGGATGTCCTTCATCCCGGGGAAGGCAGCCACTCCTTGGATCATCTCAACGAAAATGCAGCCCACTCCCCTTGAAGAGAGAAGAACACGTGATGAGACCTCCTGTTAAATACTGACTGATCAAAACGTCATTACAACAAAACCACTGGAGGTTTTTAACGTGTCCTCATCATTTAGAGATTGTACCATAACTAAAACTAAGTTACGTTTAAGTCCCTTCATGTGTGTGAGCAAGTAATTACATGTCTTTATGTACACATATGTGCATATGTTTCGTATACTTAAATGCATATACAGTATGGAGCAAAGCCTAGTCTTTTACATACAGATGGTGCATGTTGATTGTGTGTCCTATGTGTGTGTATGTGTTGCTATACTTGATCAAAATACTCACACCAGAATGTCTTCAGAATACAATATACACATCTTTAAAACACATTCTTCCTTTAGAAAACCTAGAAATATTCAATTATGACAAATAAATATTATTGGTTGAAATAAGATATTTAAAGATGAGTTATTAATCTTACATATCCGAAAATAATCACGATATTCACTTTTTAAATATAGCGCATTACCCTGGAGTCATGTTTCTTATTGAATGATATTCCCACTGCTCCAGACTCCTGCTGCTCACACAGTCTGTGATGTAACGCTGCAGCTATTATCCAGCTCCAACATGTATTCTGCTTCCTGCTCAGATGACTCTGCCATACCATAATTATCCCTGTCACTGAAGGTCCAGCCCCTCCCCTCTGCAGTACCCCTTCTCTACTTGAACACTACATCATCCTCCTCCATCTCCATCAGCCTGCTGCCCATGTGATGATCTGATCCATGATGATTTTATCTATTGGTTTCTTTTATTTAAAGGTTACGTTTACCTATACGGACTCATCACCTGGTTCTGACCCTGCTCTGTAATCTGTGTGAACTGCAGTAATGGAGAATTTATATTCTTCCATTACAGTCTGTAAGATCTTAATTAGTCTGTCAGTGGGCCAGCTGCGCTCCTGTAGTTTTAGCACACAATACATTAGCCCGGGTAAATACAGGGCTGTTTGTTAACAGACAGTTAATGAACCCTCCTGATGGCAGCAGACCGAGCTGAAAGGAGATCTGCGTCTCCACAGGAAACACACAACACACACAACACACACACATGGAGGGGTTCGCACTAAAGGAGGCTGCAGTGGGACTATGCTTCCAATACGGGCTGAGCGATATGCAGAACATCAACGGTATTTCCGATCAGTTCTTTAATATCGATACTGCAACGATAATGTAGGGTTGAATATTTGTGCTTTAACAACATACTTTTGATGAATAATAATATGTTAGGTGGAAATAATGGCTAAGTGGATCAAAACAAATATAAGAATAGTTGTGTAAGTTTAGAAAAAAAACATCACTGCCTTTAAATGCAGGCGAAGACACTTTATGTCAAAATGTAAGATGATATCTAGACTCATATTAGAATAACAATATAATATAGAGGTATTGCACAGTCCTACTTCCAATAAATGAATGATCTGCAGGTGGTGAAAGAGAGAGCAGCTGTGTACATGTGAGTGACATGTTGTGACAGTTACAAAAACAAGAACCTCTCACTCAAAATGAGCTATCATTTATGACGTCTCTTTTTTCTTTAAATGAATCCAGACGCCAGGTTAGAGTGTACGGCCGGAGGTATTCTATACATATTTGGAGAGCAATAGATCATTTTGAGCACAGTGGAAAATGTCAACAAAAAATACATTTAAGCAAAGAGGAATCAGGTTTGTGCTGTGCTTGGTGTTTTTAAAATAAGCTCTCTTACTCAGTTTCACTCATTTGCTCTTAGTCTCTCTGAACATCTCTGCTCTGCACACCTTTACTCAGACACACACACATAATGTAAGAGCCATTTAAAAAAATGAACATCTGCAGTAGGAACCAATGAGCTTGGAGCTGAGAGCCACAGACAGAGGAGGGTATAAACAGACAGACGTACTCTAAAGTTGGTTTTGGTCTTTTCATGGTATTTGTGTAAAACAGGACAAATATTGGATAACACCAGCCATTGTCGAGTGTGCATGATCACGCTCCAGTGATCTGAGCTCTGACGGACTGACAGACGTGTGTGAGAGCTGCAGGAAGGTAGAAATAGAGCCGCTCTTTGTCTCTCCTCCATCACAGCCTCACACTGCAGCCTGTAACCTGTGTGAGGCTGTGATGGATGCTCACATGGCAGGAAGGCAGATCTGCTCCACCTCTGGTCCACCAAGAGACGCTGCTTCATGGAACACTGCTTCCTAAGTGACCGGGGGTGAGTGTGTGTGTGTGTGTGTGTGTGTGTGTGTGTGTGTGTGTGTGTGTGTGTGTGTGCGTGTGTGTGTGTGTGTGTCTGTGTGTGTGTGTGTGTGTGTGTGTGTGTGTGTGTGTGTGTGTGTGTGTGTCGCAGCGTGACTCTCAGTCGGATGGAACACCACCCTGTAGATTGCCCACCTGCAGCAGTAGTATCAGTCACACTTTCCCTCTGCCTCTCAGACCCCAAAGCCCCCCAACTGCTTTTTAATTGGATGTTGGAACATGCAGCAGGGGTTTATGGGATGTCCCTGCGGACTGTCCAGACAGAGAGGGTCACCGAGGCTCCACTGAGAGTTTTGGTGGCAGGAAGCCTGAGAGGAGAGGGACCAGCAGGTAGCCCCCCCTCTGGGGCAAGCTCATGTTCCACTTCCTTTTCAAGCACTTTCTACAGTTCTTCTGCACAACTTGATTTAAAGCCAGAAGATAACCTTATTATATTTCAGCCTCTCTGCAAACATTCTGGAGAGATTGTATCAGCAGTCAAAATGAAATGAAGGTGGAACATAATTCTATTTATAAAGAAAGCTTGATCTGTGTGTGTAGTTCTTGTTCAGCAAGTATGATTTATAATGCCTCCCTGTATCTTTGCTAATTTGTTGTTTGCATGCTACACATGTGGCCACTTTGAAATTGTATCAAATATGTAATCATATCTGGGAGCTCTGCTATCAGATCACTGGTTAAGTGCAGACCATCCTACATGTCATGAATCAGCTGCCAGGCTTGATAACAATTCATATTTGTGTCTAATGGTGTTCCCATTCTCCAGCCACAGAGCACGGAGGTCAGCAGGATACACATCGTTTTTCATTCATTACAATTGAGAAACATACTACCCCAATTAAGTTATATCTCGCTAAATGTAAGCTAAATTGATATTTCTCATGCAATGTAATCTGATTATTTGTCAGTAAAGATGCAATTTAAAACAATTTCTAAAATCATTCAGCCCTTCTTAGATTGATATCAGTTTATTTGGGGCATACAATGTCTGTTAATTCACCTATTGTTGTTCTAATCAATAGCTAGTAAGAGACAAATGTGAATTACACTGCATCATGAATCATCCATATCTGTAATCGGTGAGAGATTGATCCAAGGAACATTCTAAAGCATTCTACAGGAGGCAGCACTCTCAGGTTAGGATCGGCTCAACATAAGTGGGTTTTAAATTGGTGTTGTGAAGAAAATCTGATCTAGATCGCACCGGAATGAATCATGGAGAAATAGGGTGGGGAGGGGGGTCAGGGTTAGGAGTACTCACCACATGTCCAGGCAGGTGGAGTAGTCTGTGGATCCCAGCAGGACATCAGGGGGCCGGTACCACAGGGTCACCACCTCGTTGGAGTAGGTGTGGCTGGGGACCGACTTGGCTCTGGCCAGGCCTGGGGGGGGGCAACACAACACACTGTCTCAGGAAGATTATCATTGGACGACCTTCAGCAGACCACTGAACACTCACTGTAGCAAGCACTGATACTGTATGTGGGGTTTAATGTAGCCTGTGAGGATGAACAAACAGCAAGGATATGCAACGTAGAAAATAATAACTCAGCACAGTTTAGATAACAAAGAAATTGGTAGTTTAAATACACGTGATTGCAACAATACCACAGAAGAATAAAGTTCTCATACAAAGTGGTTACACGTCTTGAAAACCAACCATATTCATCCAACCACAGGTGAAAAGATTGATAGAGAGGATTAGCAACTGTTACAAATAATGACATTACCCATTACCCAGGGTTAGTATCTTCTGTTATTCTGAATAAAATAATAACAATCTTTAAATTATTATTAAATTAATAATCAATTCATATAGTTCATAATTAAAGGTGTGCAAAATTAACTATATACAGTTCCTGTTTGCAATTGACCCGTATAGATATAACTAACCGTGGATTACTTTGATACTGAAGAAAGAGTCCGAACTCTCTTCTCTAGTATTTATCATACAGTCTGTTTAAGGAGGTAAGATTGTAATAGCATAACTCCCTTTGTAAGCTGAGTAAGGTGGAAACACTGCTTCTGCACCCGCTGAAAAATCAGTGTGTCAAACTGCAATAACCTATTTCCTGTTGTTTTTAGAACCCCAGCATGCACCTGTCCCCTTCACCTCACATAGCATCTGTGGCTGCATCTCACTTCGGTGAAATGGATACCTTGCGTCCCTCACTTGCGTCGTTTCCCTGCGTTTAGTCCCTCCCACCAGGGAAGCATGGAGAGACGCAAGGAAACCACGAGAAGCAGGGAAATTAGTCTTAAGAGCAATGGGACGTCGTTTCCTCCGGAGCGTCACGTGAAGCGACATCTGTTTGTGATGACGCTGCACAGCTGATCGTCTGACAGCAGCCAGATCAGTGCATGCGCTGCATCGTCCAATCAGTGAGCGATACACAGTAAGGGGGCGGGGCGAGTGTCTGAGGATTTCACCGGAGGATGGTCTGGTAGTTCCTCGATTATCACTCCTCCGTTATCGCTCCTCGATCCTCGGTCCTCCGGCACAAATAAGGCCACTGGGACGGTACTCAAGATGGCGCAGACAAATCAACTTCCGGTGATACCGAGACAGAGGAGCGAGGAAATGAAAAATAACCGAAGTGAGACGCACCCATAGCATCTTTGCCTCCTGCTGCCTCCCCTTCAATTATTCTGTGCCCTTCCCCCCCCAGCAGTTTGAAACCTCTGTGTTTGGTTGAACTTCGGAGGAAATAACTAAAAGAAGATGGTGAGTAATGTTAGACCCTCGACGCACAAAGCTTTGATTGACTTAAGGAAACGAGGTGGCACTGTGGACCGCTGGGATTTATAACATAGGATTTACCAATGGAGAGATCTGTTGTGCTTCCAGGAGTAATGATGTACACTCTGATTCAGAAGTGTGTTACATTGCACCCACACACATGTGATGACACACTCTGGAGCACACTTTACATCACCGCAACGAGAGAGAGAGAGCTGCTGAGGTTGCTCATTAGAAGGGTTAGGATGAAATGTAATATTTTGTTCATAAGAAGGGATACAATCCGTCCTTCATTACAGCGAAAGGTTGAGATCTTCTAAGTGTTCTTGACAAAGCTCCTCATAGTTGTAACATTGCCTCATTTAATTCTGGACAGCTTGCTGTATTTCTCACAATATTCAATATGCAGATTACCCCTCTGTTTCCACTGAGGCCAACATAAAGTAATCAGACCTGTCTTTGGACTGTCTTCTGTACATTCAACCGCAACAAGGCTTTTCAAATGGAAACCATGATGGAAGACCTTTGAGGTCTCTGAGGGGGACACAGAGTGAATAACAACCTATACAAGTATAATTATAGTAGCAACATTTGAAAATACTCAAGTAAAGTACAAGTACCTCAGTTTTTAACTTCAGCACAAAAATGGAGGTACTTAACTTTCTTTCAAACCTTTTCATGTATTTTTACATTTAGTTCATCTGGTTATTCTAGCCCTGTTCCTGCTCTTATCTGAGGTGCCACTAACCCAGGTGAGCTAGGCAGCTGATGGAGAGCAGAGTGCAGAGGCAGTAGCTCTAATGAGGCTGATGGCATTACCTCTTTGTCTCCCCCCGAGAGGTTAGAAGGCTTAATTAAAGCATTTAGCCTGGTAAAAAAGGACTTCCTGCCCTGCTGCCAGTCCCCTGAGTGGGAGGAAGAGAATAAATGAAGAGGGAGGGTGTATTTAACATTTCCCGTTGTCAGAACGCCCACAGGAGAAAGGAGTTGAGCTGCCATTCATCATGGCCGAGCCCTGTAATGTCCACACACGGATAGATACCCAGAGGCTGCTGTTTCCACTGCAGGGCCCTGTGAGTGAGACCACTATTACTGCACTCATCAAGGGTCTAACAGGATGTTGGCTTGTTTGTAACATGGAGGTGCAGGACTCGGTCAAATGAACTAGCATTGTTTGATGATATGAATAGCTCGACGTACATCTTCTGACCAGGCTTTAGATGCTCCTCCTTTAATCTACACTACAGGAAAGATACTTTGGAAGGGCTTGGAAACATAATCACTATATTTAAGAGCAAATACCAATACAATACCATACAAAATGGTAGGGAGACCATTAATGATTTCATAAAATATTACCTAATGAGATTCATGTGGATACAATGAATTAGTGGCTGAATGGAAATAACGGAAGAGTTAGAACAGGCTGCTAAATTCTGAAATACATCATTTTACAGTAATCCAGCTTCTGACCAGGGGAAAAGATGACTTATACGTTTATTACACTAGCCAAAATCTAAGACGATGTCTAGTTGCATATCATGATATTTATATACATCGCCAAGCCATATGCTGTATCTGATTCTCTTTGGTTAATATTCATGGTTGTCTGTGATGACCCTTACTAAAACACATGGTGGAGAATACAGTGAGATCAGTAAGCAGTTTCTCTGCTGTACTTTTTAATGTTACGATACCATACCATAATTCTTTATTGATACTTTATTGATGTTACTCAAACAGGAGAGAATATTATATTGGGGACTATTTTTAGCAGTGGATGAATCTATATTTGGTGCTCTAGTGAGTATTTGTGACAGCAGGATGCTTTTTGTGGGATTGTGCCAAACTAAACTACAGTGTGTGTGTGTGTGTGTGTGTGTGTGTGTGTGTGTGTGTGTGTGTGTGTGTGTGTGTGTGTGTGTGTGTGTGTGTGTGTGTGTGTGTGTGTGTGTGTGTGTGTGTGTGTGTGTTGTGCATGCGTGAGTGAGTGTGTGTGTGTGTGGTCGAGGAACATGGCTCACTGATGAAATGTTTTCTTTGAAAATACTGTACTTGTTAGAAGAATACATTCATTGTCATTCTTGTCATTGAACTCATTTGATGTAATTGGTTGCCAACCAAATAAAAACGGAATATCACCAGCAGGCGCTTTAATTTATAGATCTACTGATATTACTGTGATTAAAGTGATATTCAGCAGGGTTGGTGCAATTATAATATTTAAAACTAACAAAGCAATTATAACTCTTTATATTGGCTGCTTCATTATAACCAAAGCCCCAAGGAATAAACAGATTAAGGCAAAAAAAAGCAGGATGAGCCTGAGCAGGCATAAGCTCCGCCCATCTTTTTTATAATTTCTTCTTTTTTTTTTAAAGCTTTATACCCAAAATCAGCACTTTTGAAACAGGAAGTGAAATAGAGGGATATGAGGCATGGCTAGAATGGGTGATCTGTTTGGTATTTTGAGCAAAACACTTCATAGACTTTTTTTTAATATATTTGTATATATCTGAGACCTATGCTATTGCCTAAAAATAGCATGATAGGTGCCCTTTAAAGTCCACCCACAGACAGCTCGGAGGCTTTTTTACTGTTCATGTTTAGACTGCACTTCCAATCAATGGTCAAACTCCAACTCAGATTTAAAGATGACCATGTGTATCAGCTCAAATTGCTCTTTTTGTTTGCATATGTTGTTTCTAGTTATTTTCCTTTTGCACATCATGGTGTAAATAGTGTAAGGCGTTAGCATTCTCTGGCAGATAGAGATGTGTGCTAATGCTTTAGCTGGTGGTGTTCATGTGCTTTGACATTAGATCACCTCGCACAGTGTTCTGTAGGTGAGTCTGCAGCATCATGATGGAGTCCTGACCCCCCCCCCCCCCCCCCCCCCTCATAGGTCTACAGTCTGCAGAGGAGGGCACTACTTCAAAGCCCTGACCTATGGCTTCACACACACATACAGTCGCACACACACACACACACACACACACACACACACACACACACACACACACACACACACACACACACACACACACACACACACACACACACACACACACACACACACACACACACACACACCTTTATCCACTTTCATCTGCTGTAGGTAGCTCCTGGGGTGAAGGTCACTGGTGATATATACATCACTATCTCCCCCCGGGGGTCAGAGAATAAATGGGGAAGAGGTGGGCTTAAGGGAAAGCGGCAGAAGAGAGATGAACAAAGAGAGGATGAAAATGTTCTCTGTCCTCGGGGGGGAAACAGCTCACTGTTCTTTTAAGGTTTGTTTGTATTTTTAAGGCAGCTTGTAGCTCCTGCCTGCTTCTCCTCCTCCTCTAACACTCAGCAGATTGAAAGTACTACTTCCTGCCAGAAGCAGTTTCATTTTGGGCATCATGGCTCCCCAATGGTGTGATTCCTACGTTATCAGTGTCCAAACACTCAGTCAGTGTTATGTTCTCATTAACAGGACGCACTTAAAGGAACAGTTTCACATTTTAGGATGTTTTGTTCCCTCTGCACTAACTGGGTTAGCTCAGCTCTGAGCTGTTTCTGAAGCTGCCAGATGTTAATGTGAGTGCCCTCTAACTGAAAATGACCATGTTTAAACAAAGTTATTTAAAGTATAAT